TTCGCTTTCGCTGTCTGCTCGTTCACATGTTTTTTCCACGTTAAATCCGATGGCAGCCACACGCCGAGGTCTCTTTCGTTGTCAGTACTGGATATAACTGAGTCGTCCAACTTGTAAGAGGAAGCAACTAGCGCTTTTTTCCGCGTTAGCGTTTGATGTTTTCACTTGGATTGGTTGAATGACAGCCCAGATACCGTTTACCAATGGTTCCAAGATCAGTTTGTAGAGCGGTAACATCGTCCTGTGATTTAATTGCGGAGAATATCTTGGTGTCATTGGCAAATATTTCAGCTCGACTGGACGTGGGTGCTTCGAGTAGGTCTTCACATAAAGAAGAAACAGTGCAGGACCGACTATTGATCCCCGTGGAACGCCTGAACAAACTGGTACAGGCTTCGATGTTACACCAAGTACAGTAACACGTTGACGAATCTGACGATGGTCAGTCAAGTACGATTGAAACCATTTTAGCAGGTTACCACCAATACCCGAATTTGCTAATTTCTCCGTCAATCGCTTATGGTTGAAACGCTTTTGACATGTAAAGGTATACCATATCTACCTGCCCTCCGTTGTCCAGACAGGCGCCGATGTAATCTAATGCTTCAAACAAATTAGTCACACAAGATTTTCCTTGGAGGAATCCGTACGTGCTGGTGATCATAAATCATCCGAGAAAAGTGTTGACGAATGTTCATGAAAATACACCGTTCTAAAACTTTCGAAACTGTTAGGTCTCACTTTGGCTACACAACACAGATTTGGTTACCACAGTCAGTGAAACCATGGATAATGAAATAAAAAGGATAGGAAACTAGCTGACGTGACCTAATGTTTCCAATGGACTGATGGCGTGGTTGGATGTTCAAACCTAGTTGCAAACCAAATTCTCAAAAACGGCATGTTTAGCAATAATACAGGTAAACATTCAGGGGCGTAGCGTGACCTTTTTAACTGGGGGGTGTAACATCTAAGTTTTACCGACGACCAAGTGGCACTTGAAGCGAAAGAATCTGTTTTATCCAATGGCCTCGTTTTCATGTAAACTACTTTCTCATGTTTTGTGCTTAGTAGGGTTGAAAATTACTTTGTTATTGAGCCTAAGACTGCAAGAAACAAATTCGTCCAGGAAAACATGGGAATATAATCTTTATCTGTCCCTGACATGCTTTTAAAATAAGTTAACGTGGAAACGATGGCAAATGATGTTGTTTAAAAGAGAATAATCGGTAAGGTCTATTAAGAATAAAAAGACTAAATGCGAGCATTGTCGTGGATCAGTACATGCTGCATGCATTATCCCATAGTTGCCAACTTTGGCGAAAAACATGCCTGAGATTTTGTTTTGGGGACCCACGTGACGAGGCGCCACCATGGTTGGCGGCGAGCGGAAATTTTTTGAAAATATGGAGTCTCTAGATCGTCGGAAATGGCATTTTCAGAGTCTTCTGTACCTTATACACACAAGTTTTGGTAGCTTTATTTATTTTGAACAAAACCATATTGTTGAATACCCACGAGGTTGCATGTAGCGATGTTTTGATTATCTATTTCAGAAGGAAAAAGTTTTATGTAATTTGGCGCAAATGAACTTAATGAAGTCACTCTTAATAGTTAAAATGTGCAGCAAAGCCAACATATTTAAGAACCAGTTGTGTTATTTTCGAAATCAGTGAGATATTAACAAGCTGTGAGTGTGAGCTCACCGAGAGTTAGTGGAATCCGTGACCGCCCGTTATACGCTACAACGGCTACATATAACATATACCTATACCATGACAGCTATACAGAAATTGACAAATAAATATTTCGGCGCGCGTTTAATTTAATGACACTTACCGTGACTTTAGTCTGCCGTCTAAAAATAACGTAAAACCAGAAACGCAGCAAACGCTTTATTAATTGTTGGCTTTGTTACTTCGCGATAAGTCATTTTACTCAATGGCGTTTATCTTGTTGTTTATTGTAATAAACAGACTTGAAAAATTGGCGAAACATTTTATGAGCACCGCGTGTCAATAATAAATATATAAATATAATCTTTAATTATTTGGCGTATCATTGTATCAAGGTCAAAAGTTCGCGCACAGTTGAACATGCCAGTCAGAACCGACTGTTTTCGCAGCTCTTGCAAGTGTAATACGATAGGAAATTAGGGGCTGCAATGCTTATGCGTAAATATTTAATATACGTGATTACTGAAGAATTTTGTACATCTTGCATAACTTTATTGGAGAACAAGGCACACCATTCATTTATGGATTATTAAAAGCCATTTATCGAGGAGCAAAATTCCACTTTAACCGATTTGTTTTACCGACCGCTGTCATGGCTCTTGCCATTACCGAGTAAATTCGCGTTTTACCGATCTCACTAAAACTGGGGAGGGGGTGTCTTTACATCACTGAACATTAATTATGATCCTGAAAACTCTCGAACATTTAAGAGTATATGTCTGAAATGTAATTGTGTCCGTAGCCTGTTACGTCCAATGTCGTGTTGCAGTTAAACTGTAAATAATTAAGATCACGTACACCTGTAATGCATATACTATGTGTATAAAAAATATGTGTAATGATAGTTTCAGGGTGTCGCGCCCGCAGTAATTGGCTATTCGCTGTTGCTATCATGCACGTTTGTTTTTGTCCTGCTATGTTATGTTATGTTATGTACTGTGCTACAGTTTCATTGGCAAAGTTTATAAATTAAATTAAATTAAAATAATTGCGCACAAAGAATTGATTGATAAGATGCACTGTAAAAATGGGATGGTCAATTATTGACATCTCCTTTGTCCAAGCAACCTGTTGTATTCACTTGGAAAGCCTTCAAAGACCTTTGCCGGTCAGACGAGGATGAGAATTCGACAGTTGACTAAAATTGGTGTGACTGCAGTTGAAATCTCGCTCGCATTCAACCGCGAACTCTCTTCGATTGGTTGTACTTTCATCAACTGCAATCTACTTTGAGTTGTATTTCGCGCGGTAATGTCCAGTCAATTCTCCTGCATAGAATTATAGAAATCTTGTTCTCGTTTGAACGGGGCATGAGAAATTTCATGCAAATTTTTATCATCATGCAAATCTTGTTTGCCAACTCTCACCTAGCCTGCATGGCAGGCGGTACGTAGGAAATACCGCCTGCCGCAAAACTGGGTGTAAATGAACTACCGCCCCTGAAGCATCAACGCTATTTATAGATGCATAATTAAGTAATATTCAAAATTAGCCACTCCCAAGCTGCTCCCAAGTCCCAACTGCCAAACATAAAATAAATTCCTTGATTCTCATCACCGCCCGACTGAATTTTAAAATCCTCGTGAAAACGTTTTATTTTTCGTTATACAATATAAATGTACCGCCCGACAAAATAATTCAAGACAGTTAATTTTTTCATATTTTATATAGAGTTTTTATTGCCATTTTAAACTTCCAATTTGAAACAAACAGAATTTTGAGTGAAATTTCATTGTATTTTAAAGAAACTCAGTCATTCTGTCATTGTTCGTGGAGATACGAACTATTGATATATAAATTATATAAATATAAAATATAAAAAATAAATCTCCCACTGTCTTCGACATTTCAAAGTGTAGACTGTGTCTAGTGATGAGAATTAAGAAATTTATTTTATGTGTTAATATAAACCAAGCCCGTTTAGCCGTTTAGCTGCCTTAAAACGGTGGTTTAATAAGCTCAAAATACAAAGCATGCAAGTCTATACTATAGATTCATCATCAGTCAACAACCAAACTAAAAGTATTGAACCTTATAGAACGATAGTTTTTATTTGTTTACAACTATACATATTCAACGGGTATATCTGTTATCAGTTTAACTGTTATTTATAATTACTGCATCAACCGGCCCCTTGTTTATACTTTGGAGGTTCGTATATAATATCTATCAAGTATCTTTGGTTCAGAACATGACTGATAGGCTATATGGAAATCCCACTGTTCGATTCAGTGAAGAAATATCTCCTAATTTCTATCGATAGTTTTAGTAAAACGTCAACATTATTGCGATTTATGGCCTTTGAAAGTCAAGCGAGATAGTATATTATCAAATTAATACGCATGTAATTGTCTGAACGAAAATATAGACTAGCCCATACCTTTCGCAACCTCGCAAGCCAGGGTCTTTATACCTCCGCGAGGGCTACGGCAAAGACCCTGGTTGACACTGGTCACGTGACCACCCAGATTCTGGGTGGTATCTAATAGGCGCCTCTTTTGCTACTTAGGGAGGAGTAGTAGGGGTAATATGACGCTGGAATATATATATGTATATAATATATAGTTATAAATAATTATATAGTAATACTGTTACAGTAAAGAGTGGGTAAACTATTGATATTTTAAACATAAGAGGAGATTTTTAAAACAAAATATTATTTTAAAATATGTGGCGGCTTTTAAACTTAAAAGCTTTTTACTCCTTTTCGGCAATTACAACGTTAGAGGATCTTTCGCACCTTGACCTTGTCAGCCGGTATTTCTTCAAAGAAACACCTATCTGTAGAAAATAAAATACGAAGGCTAACGCGTAAACAATCAATTCAGTTCTGAGTAGCTACAAGCCATGGCTGAGCGAAAAGAAACACCAAAGAAAGTTTATCCGAAATCTGCTATAGATTCGGGATGTAAGTGTCGTCTCGGTGGTGGGATTTTCGAAAAAGCACGCTGTAAAAATCTTTTTAAAAAGGGGAACGAAGGTCGCCTGCGAAGCGCAGAAATTGTTAACGGTGGCGCCCTTATCTGCGAGGAAGGATTTCCTCATCTTTTATGTCGGGCTTGTGATAGACGCTTGGAGAACTTTGAGAAGTTTAGAAAAGTTGTTCGTGACGTGCAAAATGGTTTAACTCGGGAGAAAAGATGTACTGGTTTATCACCTTCCGCACCCGTAAGCAGAGCCAAAAGTTTGAGATCTCATAATTTCGATGCCCCGTCCCGTCGTGGCCTCTCCTTTAGTTCCAGTGGAATCTCGAGCGATACTAGTATGCCGCAGTCAGCGCCTGATTCAGCAAGTCAGCCATTCCAGGTAGGTTGTGATTGAAAAATGCACAGTAGTCAATATAGCGGTTTTATATACTCGGTTTATACAATCTTGTATTTTCCAAAAACACGATCTTAGCCTATGATTTACGTTTCTATAAAAATCTACATCATATAAATGAGTGTTTTTTTTTGTAGATTATCCTTCCGGTCCAACCTACAAGAACGGATGAATCATTTTTTAAAGGAATCTTGGAGAAGATAAATGTAGAATTGCGTGGTGTGGCTAGAAGGGACACGAATTCGATGCTTCGAAGTCGCAGTTTTGACAGGCTAAGCAACTTTTCGTACGAGCAGCTGGTAGAAGAATTAAAGACCATGTGTCCTATTACATATAAACTATTACCTTGTATGCTGGAATTAGAAAATTGTAGCGAGAAAAAGATTGCTGCGCTCAGTTTGATATACGGGGTGATTATGTTCAAGAGGTGCAAGGAACTCGGCTTTATCCAAAGCATTAACACCATTATTCTGTCAGACAGCGGTGCGAACACCGAGGTACTGTAGCCTGATTTTTTTGCAGGGCAGCGTTCTTAATAAAAAGTCGCGTTAGATGTATAAGAAGCAATTTTGACTGAAAATAATTGCAACTTGCAAAACAATAGTGATGATGTACTGTATGTCATTAAAACTGTGCTCAAATTGGCTGTTTATTAGTACCGGAGATTTCTAAATATTAATTGAACATCTTGCCATGCAGTTACATTGCCGGATGTTTAATAACGGCCCATTTATTGTTTATCTAATATGAAAAGTCTTATAATTTTTTTTCATGAGTTTTCTATCCTGAAAAACATTGTCATTGATACAGAAACAATCTTGCTACCCATTCATTTTGTTTTTGCCTGCCTTTGGGAGGCAAATTGTGCATTTGTGCCTTCGCAAGAACTTTGGGCAAACAGGGAAACAAAATATTGCGATTCACAAAGATAAATTTCCTACTGTTACCACAACTATATTTCCTGTTTCGCCAGGGTAGAAGAAAAATGTCCTTGTATTAATTTAAAACACGCGTAGGAGTGCTTTATCAGATATAAAACGCGAGGTGGAAGCCAAACATTTTATATCTGATAATGCACGACTACAAGTGCTTTAAAGGCTTAAAAAACGATCCATGTTTATGAGTTCATTGGCGAAGTAATTTTCAAAATCAACGTTTTTAAGCCGAGAACTGATCAAAGCTAAAGTAACATGAAATTTTATCACATATATAAACACCAACAACAGGGTTGTAATTTTTCTTTGTTTTTTTTTTAGTTTTTTAAAGGTAGGTTACAGTCGCATCTGCGCATGTGCTGGACTTTGTTTACGTTTTTTGTTTTGATCCACATTAATTATATAAGATGAAGTATATGACGAGTTCAAAGTAACATTCCACATAATTTGTGACCGAGGAGTGCAATGTTTTACAATACTTCGCTGCATTTCTTGTATATTTCTACACTGGAAATATTTGTACACAATAACACAATCTTATACTGTAACGTTTTAACTGTAAACATTGTGAATAAAGAGGCCGTTTTGAACCTTGTGTGGCTTGCTATATCAACAGCTGGGGCGGCGAACCGAAATCCCGAACGTGTGAGTTCGAATAATTTGTGTTTAGTGTTTACCTTTGGAGTTTGTGTCTAATCACGAAAATAGTTCATGCGGTATCAATCCCTCGAAACATGTTGCCAGAGTTGTTGTTGTCATTATGACAGAAGCACTTGGGGAAAGCTTTTCGCTTGACGAAATTCGAAACAAGTGTGATAGAGAATGTGGCTGCATGCAGTTCCTGTCTTCGTGGCAAAGCAAAGGGCGAAATTTTTGACCGTGCAAAAGCTGGATAAACAGCTTTTGTTCAAGCTCGTGCGCGCTATGGAGATAATTTTGGATGCTGTTTTAATATAAACAACAGAAGAGTTCAATAGATTGACAGTGACGAGAGTACGAGACGCTAAGATTATATTCAACTTTTTTGTGTTATAAAAATGTATGGTTTGAAATTATGAACTGGAAGTATGAATTCATTGATATTACTCTCATATTGACACTAAATGATGATATTCTTGTGACACTGAATGATCTAATATTAGCTTCAACAATTCTGGTGATCAGGTTACTTCATCATGTCTCTTCAAGACGGAGGACAATTGCTAAATATATGCTTGTTTCGCTCTATATCAGAGCTCATCAGAATGCCCAGGAAACACTGATGAACTTTTGATTTACATCAACGAATCTTTCTTTTTTTCAACAGATTTATTGGGTTAATATGGTAATCTATATATACAGACATTAAAGGAGAACTCCAAGGGGTAAAGCACAAACATGACTCCAGGGTTTTATTTATAGCCTTTATATGCCCCCTGAGAATACTGAATATAACTATACTAAATATAATTACAGTTTGTAACATGAACAATCAGATAAGTACATTTACATAAGAACCTGTTTAGGCTAACTTGGAAAAAATCTAGGTTATTATTCGCAGGGTTTTACTGTGTTGTCTAATTTTGTCCAAAAACAGACCATGCACGGCACCCTGTTCTGGCAACATAGATAACGGGATGGTGCCACTCTTTGTGACACAAAATCAGGCAATTATAGTACAATATGAACTGGCAAGTGTCTGGCACCTTAAAACCAGATTGCTTTGTGTAGATGGAGCTCATAAGCCTTGGCTGGCAACCATCTAGGAGAAAGAAAGCTCTGATTTCAAACCCCCAGACCCCACTTTTGGACAAGACAATTGTATAGTAACTATATCAGTCATGATCATCTAAAAATGCCAGTATATATGCACTTATATACAAAGCTGTATGCACTGTAAATTTAGACTTTATTTATCTCAATGACATTTTCAGGGTTCTGGATCATTTTCATTACTTTGTGAAGAGTTTATTCTCTTTGATTTTTATACATTTTTAGATCTGACTGGTCTCCATGTGATAAAATAAGAACCTGAAATACTAGCCTAAACAGATTGGGTGTCTAAATACTGAAAAATTAGCCTGACAGGCCCTCATATACAGTAGGTTCTTATATGCAAGCTTTACTTACAATTAGGGTGGAAAATATACTAGTAATTATTAGTTGAGTTTGTTTACATCATATAAGTATTTGTGATCAAAATCTTTTATAAACTAAATGTCTTAGGGGTGTTTATATGGAGGCAAGCCAGCCCGGTTACCTGAGATAGGTGGCTTTGCTAATTTCATCATGTAGCAGGCTGGCACCAAAACAAATCATTGCGAGAAACTGTCATGGTTATGACCGTCACAACTGTTCACAGAGGTATTAATTTTTAAAACTATAGATTAAAAATCTGTTGAGAAAGTCTTATTTACTACAATTAGTAATTGGCAATATATTCGTATTCAGCGGCTTAGGCAAACCAGCCAACGTAGGCGAGATCTGGGGCTCTGTCGGGCTCTGATCTGGGGCTCTGTCATTAAACAAGATCTCGCTTAGGCAAGCCAGCCTGGTTCTCATATACACACAATACGAATATTAGTATAAATTATCTAGCAACATTAGATCTCGGCCAAGTAAGCTAGCTCAGGCACCCGAGCTGGCTTGCCTCCATATAAACACCTCATTAGGTCAAGTACTGTAACTTCCGAGCAACTAAAAGGCATTTAAACTGTTAAGTGTTTTGATCAAATTAAAATCTACTTAGTAACTTTACAAGTTGTCCATGAGCAGACAGTCAAAGACAGTAATTAACGCACTGCTACAGCCAAGTAGATTATCACTCTGACAAGTGACAATAACACGTCTATATAAACAGTCATCCAAAAGTCCAAATTGTTCATTATTTTTTCATCGACAACTCACTACTCACGAGTATCATATCTTTAGGCCTTTATAATTATATTATGGGTTTCAGTTTGTAAATAAAATAGATAAACAGTTCGTATATATTAACGATAGTGAAATAGTGTAATATAGAAAATTTTATAGTCATTAAAACCTCGATTGATGGGCTTTAAAACAAGCGATTTCTCTGAAGGATCAACATTGCAGCTATGTTGGGAGCAATCTCCAATCCTTCTTGGATTCGTTTCTTGACAACCTTTGGTAGAAGCTTGAGGATGCATGGCCATTCATGGGCAGACGCAGAAATGGATGCGCTCTCCATCGAGGAAAACAATATAATAAATACACTTTGATACACTTTCGAAGCATCCCTGTTAGCGTAGTATCCTTTCCTACTCGTCATGTTGCCTCAATAACTCGTTATTTGACGGACTGTCGCTCAAAAAAGCTCAAAATATTTTGGAAACTTCTTGCTCCTTGGGCATTAAATTCACTTGCGTTATAAAAACAACGCGCGTGTTATTGCCAGAAATGAGACTGGACCGAGCACAAACAGAGGATGACAACTTCCTGTGTGTCCCCACATAAACAAAAGTCTAGCACATGCGCAGATGCGACTGTAACCTACCTTTAACAGTGCATTAGTGCACAATTTACTACAGAATTTACTATAATAGATTCGAATTGATATTATATTCTTTCTTTCCTTGCCAGAAACCAACATTTCGTATGCAAATTGAACGCGGCAAATTCAAAATTATATTTAACAGAATTTCAGACACATGGCTCAAGTAACAATCATATTTTCACTACATTCTTTTGCAATTAAAGCGCTTAAATAACAAGTCAAAATATAACTATTCTTACCTGTGGCTCCTGTGAGATCTGAATAACATTTTACGAACTTTTCCATGCCTTTTCCATCATTTGGGTTTGAAATTTCGATAAGTTTCTTGCCCATGTAAGACATGTAAATGTGCTTTCAAATTTTTAGCACAAAAATTCGAAACGACGCTATCCCATGACACTTTGCGCTCCGACACTTAAACTAGGCACCAGGCCTCCAGGCAATGCGCGAACTATTGCTTCAGTTGTCATGTATTAAATCACAGTTAATATTAACTGTGATTAAATATAGTTTCTCTACGAATATAAGGAATATTTACAAATGTTTTCAATCAGTTACTGACTGTTAATTAATTTATTGATAATAAATTCTCTGAAAATGAAAATTCTCTACAATGATTCAATAAAACATGGAAAGAAATCAACTTTAGAGATTAAATTAGAATGTAGTTATATGGTATCAGGAATGATGGAAAGGGGGTGGGGCAAGGTCTCCTTTCCTAAAGGGGGCAAATGTAGCATTTTAATATAAATAAAACACAATATTTTGTCCCAATTTTACTTTAATAACAAATTAATTAACAAAGATAAATACGATAGAAGAGAATTTGTATATTTAATTAGCTATTTCCCAAAGTCCTGGGTCTAGTCGCAAGAATCCCTTGTTGGCGGGACAAAAAAAAAACAGCACACATTTAAATTAAAGTTTAATGTAAAAAGGAGATATCTCATTTTTGGTCATGTAAAAAGTTGATATTTTATAGTAGATACTTCTACTCTTTCACATATTTGATGCCTGTCTCCATATATTTTGTCCCTCCAAATGACCCCAGAATATGCACTGAGAAAAAGCTAATTACGTGAATATACTAACCCATATAGAATCTAAATCCAGGATGACATTTGACATCTTGTTAAAAGAATATTGAGTAAAAATATATCATTTTGGGAAAAAAATGCAAAAATTGCAAAAGATGTTATATTTAAATTTTAACAAATTTATATTCATTCTTCGAGAAAATTTAAGTAAGAAATAATTTGATATTAACCATTATTTCTTATGTTAAGAATTTGATTTCTTGTTTTAAAAATTATCTTAAGAAAATGATTTGATATGAAGATGATGAAATCGTAAGAAAACATTCATATTTCAAGAAAACAAATGTATGTTAAGAGAATTTTTCTTATTTCAAAAAATGTCTTGCAAATCAAATACTTCTAATTTTAAGAATCATTTTTCTAATTAAGAAAATTAGTTTCTCATTTCAACAAATATATTCTTGAAGTAAGAATTGTTTTCTCAATAAGAAATTTTTTTGCTGTGTAGTCGAGATACTGTATATTGACAGACAATTGGCATATCTATATATATCTGCAATTTTTATGCAGATATTTTGCAGATATTTTGACAGACAACTGACATATCTGCAAATATCTGCAACTTTTATGCAGATAGTTTGCAGATATTTTGACAGACAATCACCATATCTGCAAATATCTGCAACTTTTATGCAGATAGTTTGCAGATATTTTGACAGACAATGGACATATCTGCAAATATCTGCAACTTTTATGCAGATATTTTGCAGATATATTGACAGATACTCAACATATCTGCAAAATATCTGCAACTTTTATGCAGATATTTTGCAGATATTGTAGACCTTGTTGCAGTTATGCTGCAGTACTGCAACAGATATGTGACAAATACTTGCAGACATTTTACATATATGTCAGTTTGGTAAGGGTTACCTAATGTGTATTGTACCTGCCATTTTTTTTTCAATAAATGAAATGTTTGTGAATTCATTTCTATGCTGTTTGACATCAGCTTTGAAAAAAGGTATATTATTACTATTTATAATATAGCATTTGTAAATTTTGTATGCTGATTGGCTAAAGCCATGTTGATATACATGTAACTCAATATCAACACAGAAAATTTCTTTATATTTATTTGTGCTAAATTATAAAAAATATGAAACATTTTTCCATATCGATATATAGTTACATTAACAGTTGAAATTGGGAAAACTCTAAAAACACTCTGCCCTTTGGGTGTCAACACGATTTCTCGTTTTCCAAATTTCCACTTGTGTTGATATAACTGTATATCAACACAGAAAATGTTTTATATTTGTTAAATGTCCATAAATGAATTGTGATGTGAATTATAATATCATATGTTTATATATAATTATTTTACTTTATCGAACGACTGAACAAATATGGATTCTGTCTTGATCCCATAACTAAGTATACTATGATGGACAACATTGGGCAGCACTTCCTCGAACGTGCGATAGAATTGGTCAAAACTGGTTACAAGTTTGTATTTGTGCTAGATAACATCGACTGGGAGGAGAAAGTACACAATGTTAGATCAGACAATCAGAACAAGAGTGTGCACACAGTTGCTACAAGCATTGTTTTTGATCGTGTCCCCATTGACAATTTGCCTGATGATGGTCCACAGAGAGACTTAAAAACATGCAATGTTCGTGACATAATTTCAATTAGTAATGCAGAATTGGATGTGATAAGAAGTCGATGCAGGATTCTTTTGGCAAGACTTCTCTTTGAACAACTACCAGAATTCCGTGTTTTTGAAGCTCATATACCAAGTGTCACTTATTGCAAGTATTCTGAACAAACATGCTTGAAGTCTGAAGTCATCACCATGCCAATTCTGCTCAAAGATGAGATGAGATCAAAGATGAGAAAAACCAGCTTGAGAATTGGACGTTCGAGATCTATTCTGCTGCTGGACTGTGCAATGTGGTGTCCTCTTCCGATGTGTTAAATCAACCTGAAAGTACCAAAAATTTCCAATTTTACCTTGAAAAAATTTTTGGGGAAAAATTTTGGTCAGTGTACCATTTTAGGGGTAACAAATTTTCCGGACATATCAAAATTTTTCAAGACAAAAAATTTTCCGGACATTACAAATTTTCCGTTTATCCAAAAAAAATTTTCTAAAATTCCGAAAATTTCTAGAATATTCTAAATTTTTGTGAATATACCTCATTTTTCTCCAAATTCATAGTTATTTTTGTATATTAACTTTCTCTTGTCCTAGGAATTACCTGAATTTGCATTCATTTACCCGACTACCTGAATTTACCTGAAATTGCTCATATGAGCAATTATCAGGGGGGTGTGCTACACACACCCCCTGCTCGCTACGGCCCTGTATTTACTTTGTCTAATGCCAGATAATTTTGGAAAACAATTGTTGTTAGGCCTAACTAGAGAGATAAAGAGTTTTTGACAATCTTAAAAGTCCTGTAACTTGTACTGTACATTATCAAGTTCTACAAGTACAGGAACATTCTACAGACCGTGATAAAAACTATTTTTATTTCGCACCCTATTTATTTCGATTTTTACTGTATATGGGGATACAATTTAATTAATACTTAGCCCCTTCTAGGAGAATGCTGCTCGTGTTTCGTTCTAGGCTGACTTGTGGCAAGTCTATACGATTGGCTGATCGCATTATTAATCTGCACCCCCCTATTGAGGACATCCATTTTTTTGTCCCCCCTCCCCTGGAATTTCCACATATTTTAAGCCAATTTTTAGCCTCCCCTGTGGAATTTCCGCACATTTTTATTGAATTTTAGCCATGCCCATGGAATTTCCGCAAATTGTTTATGAACTTTTAACCCATCCCATGGAAATTCCTTGACAGTTTTTTATCTAGCCAGTGGAAGTTCCGTATTGATTCTTTGATTAGTACAGTAGCTATCCCTTGGAAAATTCCTTGTTGATTTTTATCCTATCCTTTGGAATTTCTCTTCCATTGTTGACCCTTCCATGGAAATTCCTTCATTTTTGGTTAATTTTTGGTTCATTTTTGCAGGGGGCCATTGGAAATTCCAAATGTCCTCAATAAGGGGGGGGGGGGGTAATGCGATCAGCCATTAGGTGTTATGATAGTTTACCAAGTAAACTGGCATTTTCTCCATAATCCTACTTTTTTGGAATGTTTATTTAGTTATCTGAAAGTTTTTAACTTGTTTTACAGACTGTTTTCAAGAGACTGTACAAAAACTCGGGCAGAGAAAAAGGTACACTGAGGTACTTTCGTGAAACGTTAAATCGAAGGAATGTCACAGTTGACATGAAGCACTACAAAGATTGTGAGCAGCTGTTGCTCAGCATTGGCAAGTGCTTTGTTGTCGAAGCCTTTCTGGAATTTTTTGACATGGATGATGAGACACAGAAACCATTAAAGAATGCTCCAAATTTAGATGCATCTAAAAGTGACGAGCAGAAGAAGATTGACATAAAAAATATACTGGACAAGTTTCTTGACCAGTATATTTTTGTGGCTGAAGATGAAGAGGACCCACCTTTTGGTAGCAATGGTGTATGCTGTTACTCAGTGAATGTATTGCAGTCATTCATGTTATTTGCTGATTTTAAAGATGCTGTCTCTTCAGGAAATGGCGAGCATCTATCCACCTTGCATAAGCAGCTACTACATCACTTCTTCTCTGCATCTGGTTTCAATGACTATGCAATTGAGATGCTAATCAACATCAGAGCCAAATCCTCCTGTCAAAGGCTGAGGCCCATAAATGCAAATGGGCATCTACGGTGAATTGGAGCGGTGGCGAAAGGAAGAATGTTGAGATAGACTTGTTTCAGGAAAACAGAAACAAGGATATGAAGGCGATGATCAAGGCGATGGGAGCTAACAAGTCTGAGAAAAGCAATTAGCAGAGCAAGTAAGGCAGCCGGAGGTGTGAAAAGATAGTGGAAGCCTATGAGAAGCAAGTCCCTCTACGTCTCAAGTCTTTATCACACCATGCACACAAATCATCAGCAACAGATGAGAAAATGATTATGGCAGATTTGCAAAGTGTGAGGCCTTTTAAACAAGTGGATGGGAGAAGATTTGAATCTTTTGGGGATATTTCTCACAATCCCAATTCTACATTTGATGAAGATGCCTTTGTAACCTGGGTGAACAGGCACAAAAGTAACATCTTAAAACATTTTCCTGTTTCCGAAGATGATTCAGAAGAGGATACAAGTTCGGAAACTGATGACTAACTGCAATATAGGACAATGGGTACTAGAATGTATGTGACATTTATAATACTTAAGCACAATATTTGACAAAGCCAAACATATGGACAAACAGACTACTGCACAGTATACAGTATTCCCACCTTAATGTACCCTGGATTACAGAGCCTTCGACAGTAAATAATATGTCTGGTTCAACGGGGAGATTCTTTGATTAAACCGCGCCAATCACAAAACAGAATTAGTGGTTTTAGTACAGATTAATCACAGAATCTTCCTGTTGAACCAGAGCCTTCATGACGTTTCGATTTATTATTTACTGTCGAAGGCTGTGGAATCCAGGGTAACCTTAATGTGAAACTATGAGGTTGTGTTTTCTACCAAACCAATTATGTACTGTATCAACATTTTAGTAAGTAAGTATTAATAATTAAGGGATTTGTTTATTATCCTATTTGAATTAGCAAAGAACACAGCTCAGTGTGAACACAGAATAGAGACTACACAGAAGCCTGCTTTCTTGGTTTTTCCTATGATTTTGGCTTAAACCATAATTAGTCATCAAAATCTGATGCAATGGTTCTAGCCAGTGCACTTATGAGAGGCATTTACTCCCCTGATAATTATCAAAATGGCAGGCATCCAGGCACAGAATAAGGTACACAGAAGGCCGACTTATAAGTTTTTCCTATGATTTTCCTATGATTTTGACGTAACCGTAATTCGTCATCAAATGCTGACGCTATATCACAGAGTAAAGATATATATCCTTACTCTGTGGCTATATGGTCCTAGCCAGTGTGCGTTTGAAAGGCATTGAGCCATTCACCCCCTGATATTATTCAAAATGGCAGACGTCCAGGGGGGAATGCCTCTCAAACACGCACTGGCTAGGACCATGGTGTCCGCTTTTTGATGACTTATGCTTTTTTGGCTGAGTGGATCTTCTGTGTGCCTTTATTCTGTGGCATGACTGAGTCAGTGTTAGGCGTTTCAAGGCACAACATGCATCCACCTTATTTTGCAACTCAATATCATGGAGCACAGCTACAATGTTAGGGGCAACCCTTGCTGACACTGAAACCCCTCCTGTGTGAGGAAACCCAGAGTAACTGGAGGAAAACCACAATAATTGGCAGAGCATTTTCACATACCTGTATATGGACCAACCAAGTCGTTTCACACAGGAATTGATTTTTAAGTTCAGAACTTCCCATTTACCTTACATTTCCCAAATATTAGTTTGATCGAGGGTTTGATATATAATTGGTTCAATATATTAAGCAGCCCATTGCGCCTTACTTTATTATTTTACTCTTTCTTATACCAGATTATTTTACTCTGTATAACACCAGACGATTTTACTTGTCAAGGGGAGAGTGCTGGAGCTTAATGGGTTAACTGACTGGCCTATCTGCCCATGTGTCTAGTTAACTAAACAATCTGCAAATGTGTCTTGGCAACCAATTATAAAGCATCAATGTGCCCTACTTTATTCTTTCAACTCTACTTTACATAGTCAGCATTGGCGATAAAATGAAGCTATTAAACAATAAACATTGAATCAAAACATGTTGTTAACTGTCAACAAATAAGGGGTATCCATTTTGAACAAAACAATATGTGTGTGGAAAAAAGTTGATTCTATAGGTATTGCACTGAAACCAAATTAAGTATATTTACATGTATGTGCAACTTTGTCCCCTGAAGTATTTAAAAATGATATAAAACAGTAACAATATAAATAGATAAAACTGTGCAGCATCCTAGTGTTTTTCACTCTATTTTACAGATTCTGCATAAGGTCACACAAACATTGTGGGCACTCACACTTTTTTGCACATATGCTGCAGCAGAGGTGAGGTAGGTCAACCATGGTTTCCTCATGGTCAAGTGACTTGAGCAATAACAATCTCAGACAAGTGTCAATACTTTTACAAAAAGTTCTCATATCATCTTGCATTCCAGCCCTGTTCTTTGCTATATCTCTATTGTTGTAATGCAAAATGGCCCGTGCAGGTTTGTCATCCCTTCCAGCTCTTCCAGTCTCCTGAAAATAGGCCTTGACACTGCATGGTGGACCAATGTGAATCACATTGAGAATGGATGGTATGTCTACTCCCATTCCCATGGCAACAGTAGCAAAGATAACTCTGACAGTGCTAGTGCCAGAACACAGTTGTCGCAGGATTTGTTCTTTCATCTGTTTGGTTTGAGAGGCATGAAACTGTGCAAAGAGCCTGTTCTCAGGGATTTCTAGTGCACCGTCTGGGTAATATTGTTTAATACCCAACAAAGATTCAAACAGTTTGTATGCATATCCACACCATCTCAGTGGAATATAAATGACTGTCAGTGGATAATCAGTTCTATCTTTCAACAAACCCCTACCAATTGGATAAAGAATACCTTCCACTGAATCGATTTCTTGCCTGCGACGAAACAATTTTTCATAACAAATATTCTTTCTGTCCGGATTTCCAGCAATGTTCCTACAGCTTTTTAAGCCCAGTGAGTCCTTGATGTACTCTTGGTCTTGCAGGTTTGCAGTTGCTGTCATGGCAAGTACTGGTACTTCAGGAAATATAGCACATAGAACTCCCAGCTTACTGTAATCAGTTCTGAAATCACTACCCCTATAAATAAACAAAACCAAAGGCATATAAATTAATGGATATACCACATCACATTTCATAAATTAACTTTAATTACATATGTTTTTTTTTTACAATATTAATCGACAAAATTAAATTAAATAAAAATTCTGACTTACTTACCATTCTAATATACAGTGAGCTTCGTCGATTACAAGTGCGCATATATTATCCTGATATGTCTTGCTCTTCAGTAACTCTCGTCCGTATTTGCAAGAAATGAATGACTCTGGGTGCGAGAACACGATGTGATAGTAACCACTGCGTAGTTTCCCTTCCTCGCAAAGACGAAAATCACAGTCAAACGAGTTTTCTGTGTCTTCATCAACTACGTTTTTTACGCCAAGAACAGAGGCTCGAATACCACTTGAGCACAGACGAGCAATCTGATTGCTTATCAGAGCGTTCAAAGGTGAAACTACAACGACAATGCTTGTCGCCATGGACATATCCATACTCCAGAGCGAAGGGCCAGCATCTTGTTCTAATATTGCCTTCGCAAACATCAACGCAGGAAGAAGATGGAAAACTAGAGACTTTCCATAGCCAGTAGGTAGAACACAAAGCACGTCATGTTTGAAATATAAATACTCGAGGCATATAACTTGCTTTGGCTTCAAAATAGTACTGCAATATACACTATTAGAAACTGCAAATTGCAAGCACGAAAAGAAAGCGATGTAGTCCAACATGGCGGGCGAGGTGAATTGGACAATGAATTGAAATTTGATCCGTAACTTCGATAATAGGTCACCCATTGTATTTGGCAGCAGTTCCATATTTTAGCAATGTGTCGTACAAAACACAGAAATAGTTTTACAAACCGCTCGACAGTATCAAGTATTAATTAAAGCCATTGACAACATAATTTTAACACATACCCATGAGATTTTCGGTTATAAATTGCCTACATTTGTGAAAGTTGACAATTGTACCAATTAATTAATTTTCCATCTTCATAATACGGACATTGTTACAAATTTTTGCCACAAACTAAGTCGGTGATTCAGTGATTCTCTATATTAAAGTTTAAAACTTTTTCTCCCACTCCTGGCGCGTTGCAATTGAATAATAGTTTTACTGTAAAGTGGAAGCATGTAATATGATATTCTACCCACACACCCTCAGGCAATAAATCATTTGGAGGTCACGTGACCAGCCTTTACAAGGGTCTCCGTCCTGCCGCGGGTGTGGAGGCCCTTGCTTGCGAGGTTCTGCCGGTTCATGCCGGTTTTGTTTAATTTAATAAGAACGATATTGCATTCACTTTCTCATTTGACATACGATACGGCTTCCACTAAAATGGCACGCTCTTGATTTTGAAAAAATACATGCTCATTTAGACGTATTCCAAATCCCAATTTATCTGACTGCATTTTAATAGCTTCAAATATTCAGAACATTGTTCTTTCAATCACAAGTAGTACAAGTATTATTGCATTCAATGGTAGTATTTTATTCGACTTTTAATTTGTATGTGTATTGATTAACTCGTAATGTATTATCTGCAGCCTATATTTAATATATTGTGCGGCTTGCTAATGCTTCGTATTATTGTTTACATTTCTTTATCCTGATGATGATTGAAATATAGTCGAAACGTTGATAAATATAAAAATGTTATCGATCTTTGGAGTTTACACACTTGTTTTATATACATTTCGTCGTTGTACATTTCACGCCCTGCGTCAATTTGATAGTTGACAGTCTTTGTTAATTATAAGGGATGAATGAATAAAACGCATGGTTCAGAGCAGGCTAAATTTTAGGCAATTTTATGCAGGAAATTAGGCGGGAATTTCCAGTTTCGGTCGTTTCCGGTTTCGGTCGTTTCCGGATTCGGTCGTTTCGGTTTCCGTTCTTTACAGAGACCCGGCCACGCTACAGGCACAGAATAAGGAGTAGAACCAGAAGGGACACTCCTTTGATGTTAGGCGGTCGCGCCGACATATACCTGCAAACACCCGCGAGCGAGCGGCGGCCATGTTCTTATTGTGAGAATTTTACTATAAACAATATGACGAAAACCGCACTATGATTATTAAAACTGCTCTTTTTGGAATATAAATGGACTATTTTCGTCTGTTTTATGAATATTTCGAAGAAAAGGTAAGCGACTTTCTATTTATCAAGTCTGGTAGCGTAATTATTTTTTTCTGGTACAATTTAGTTGCGAATTTTGCTCGGGAGTATGAAAGCTCTCATGACAGGCTGACAGCTCATATAAATGTTTTGTCCAAATTATTTCACATATAATTGCAGTTTAATCTATATTTACAAGAACAGAATAAGAACTTATTTTAAAATGGAGCATACCGGAACAGATACACCGAAATTATCCATATATTTTGATAAACTTTCGAATTTCAAATGAATATTGCATTAGTAAATACTATACAAAATGTAACAACTTGTATTCGACTGTTTTACATAATGTGTCTTTATGGTACATTATTGAATGGTTTTACAAGTATTGACTTATCAAGATTATATCAGGGTAATTCATGTTAGAAATTAAGAGTTGTTAATTTCTAGCAGCCAACCCGGCTACATTATTATATTGTCAATCTACTTTATTAATATAAATAATATCATATAAATATTGTGGATCCTTCTTTTCTCTTTGATCTAAAAATAAGTAAATGTATTATTCACTTTGTTTTATTAAGCTGCAGAGCTTCCCTATAATCACAAGTAAAATCGTCTGGCGTTAGACAAGTGAGAAAATAAGTAGGGCGCACTCAGGCTCAATGGGTTAACTGTGTATTTTGCATAGAAATTTAAGCCGGACAATACAACTGGACAATTTTTTAGTAACATTCTCTGTAAAGTTGCCTCCTCTCTAATAAAACCCATAAACAAACCCATGCTTTAATTCCCCTTCTAATAAGATCATTTTATAAAGTATGGTTCTCCATCCACTTTTTTACACGTGGCTTATTACAAGTTTTCTTAGGTCATATTAATTTAGACTCTCTCTCCTAAACACACCCAAAAAGATATATATATATATATATATATATATATATATATATATATATATATATATATATATATATATATATT